CTAACCAATACATTCTAGTGCCTCTCTTCCACTGGACCTAGTTTATTAATTCATTTTTCTATTCATTTGTCATGCTTCTTCCTGTGTTTGATGATGAATGAAGACAGGGTTCACTGTAAAAGACAGGATGAAAATTCATATTATAGAGTCTTCCTGATGACTTTGACCCTTTTAGTTAACTTTTTGTCAGATCTGATGAGCTCATCGTTGCTTTTAACCTCGCGTCGTCACCGCTGATGGGCTCACACCGGAAGTATCCGTTTAGCTGTTATCTTGATGCTTACCTGGGCTGACATTACTAAAGCTACCTCCAAGCTGTTGTTTCTTTACCAGGATCTTTGTAAACCATTTGTCTTTGTCTGCGAGGACTAGTTTGCTTAAAACCAGAGAATAGAATCTACACTCCAACTCAACTAGATGAATTAGTCAGGATACACTAGATTACAGAGGTGAGTAAACAGTAGTGAGGAGTAGTGAGGAAACCACAATCTCGTGACTTTACACGTCAAAGTTTTGTTTCTCACCTGTGTGATTCCCCCTAAGGACCCAGTAAGAGTGCAGCACGGCCCTCTTCCAAGTCGTGGTGACTCAGGATCCACTGTCCTCTCAACACGAGACCTCCATTGTTGCTGAGGAGAGGGAGCTCACACCCACTCACCCTCAGCCCAGAAGCCATCTGCATCATCCCGGTGCACAGCGAGTCACACAGTTCTGCACAGAGGAAATAGAGGCCTCCAGTGTGCCCAGGAAGAAGACGAGAACCAGAGAGCAGTGAGTGCTAGAAATCTCTTCCACACCAGGCATACATACACTGCAGGGCTGCGGTCAAAGATGTGAGGGTTTCTTTGCCAACCCACTGAGTTGAGGCGCCCCCTCCTCCTTCAGGGCACTTCTGTTTCCCCCATGGCTGTCTGACATACCCAGCGAGCAGGACGCCAGTATTGATTCATGGGCTCAATGTCGGTAAAACGGGATTGCTTCTTTTCTTTTCATTTAAAAGTAGAAATGCTGGTAATTTCTCTTTTTAAAAATCTGCCCCCAGTGCTATTATTTTTTATTACATCAATCACAGTTATTTTTATTTTTGTTATGGTGAGACTACTTAACATATCTACCTTCTTCAAAATTTTTTAAAAAGACTTTATTTATTTATTTGAGAGAGAGCGAGAGCACGCGGGAGAGAGAGCATGAGCAGCGGGGAGAGGGAGAAGCAGGCTCCCCGCTGAGCAGGGAGCCCGATGTGGGGCTCGATCCCAGGACCCTGGGATCATGACTTGAGCTGAAGGCAGATGCTTAACTGACTGAGCCACCTAGGTGCCCCCTACCCTCTTCACACTTTTAGTGTACTATATGGTATTGGGACTCTGGGCACAGTGTTGGATGGCAGGTCTCTAGGACTTACCCATCAAATGCCAGTCACTTCTTTCTGCTCCTCCCCCAGTACATCATACGGTGCACACACCTGCGTTGGAGACCATCTCCTTAGGCTTCGTGAGCATTTTACAGGTTTCAGAGCACTAACTGCATCCCCATGGGGAGGCAGGCTGTAGATCTCAGACCTCGCTGTCAGGGGAAGCAATGACGCATATCACTTCTGGGCACAGGCAAGCGTGACTTCTCCACGCTATTCCTGCCCCTGCCTTGGCAAGAATGGAAGTCACATATTGAGACGATAGAGCCACCGGTTCCCTGAGTCACGGCTTGGAAAGGAACTACGCTGGAGACCCAGCAGATTCTCAGTGGCCGTTCCATGAGAAAGACCAGAGATGTGAAGACACTGGCCTAAAGATGCCCAGCCAGAATTGGAAAGTAGGTCTCCTGACTACCCATGCATTCACCTCAACGTGAATCTCTAGTGAGACTAAAATGCTGTATGAAAAAGATCTGTTGTTAAGCCCCCCAAATGTCTCCTTCTAAATGTACCTTGGACATTAACCAGCAAATCTGGCTGTTATCGAGAATCACAGAGCCATCATTCTGATGTTAGCCAGGGTGGTGTCCAATCCCAACATCCAGACCAACATATTTAGCTTCCTTTAGCACCCCCAGCTGCCCTGGCCAGGCTCTCAAAGACTACCCTCCACACTCCCCATCCCTGCAGATTCGGGGGCAAGGGGACAGATTTGTGGCTCAGCAGAACCCGTGGACACTGTCCTTACCTAACATTTCCTGTGCTCCTTGTTTTTTATTCAATCCACTGCTCCCTGCAGCAGGGATGGACCGACACCATTCATCACTGTTGAGACCAACAGTCCCTTCCTCAGCTCTGCACGCCCTCAGCAAATGTAGGGAATTGACGATCACTCAGGCAGGAAGAACCCTGCTCCAATCAAGTTTCTCACTATCCCCTCCTCCCTCTGCAGGGACCAGAGTCAAGTCTCCATTACCACCACCACCCCCACCACCAGAAGCATTGTCCTCAGATGGGCAGGAGGTTGTAATCTCACCAGCTCCCAGAATCCCTGCTTTGACAAGGCTCATGGGAACTTAATTCACCTGTTAGGAGAAGGATGCCCAGCCCAGATCGTGTAGGGAAGAGTCAGGTCACCTGGGGGAGATGGTTCAAGTGAGGACATATGTTAAAAACCATAATTCAATTATCTAATGTGTTCCTTTCTGTTTCACGCCTCAAAAATCCAAAATTTGGGGCACCTCGGTGGCTTAGCCATTAAGCATCTGCCTCCGGCTCAGGTCATATCCCAGAGTCCTGGGATCAAGCCCCCATTGGGCTCCCTGCTCAGCAGGGAGCCTGCTTTTCCCTCTCCCACTCCCCCTGCTTGTGTTCCCTCTCTTGTTGTCTCTCTCTCTGTCAAATAAATAAATAAAAATTTTAAAAAAACAACATAATTCAGACCCCAGGATTCTGGGATAAAAAAAGGTGCTCAGGTGTTAAAACAGAGAAGGGCTTCAGTGCCTAGTAAACATGGATCAAACCCATGCCTTGGCCACTTCCCTTGTTGTCACTTTGGTTATTGTCTTTCTAAGCCTCAGTTTCCCCAATTATAAAATGAGGGCCAGGGGTACAACACAACCTGCAGGTGGTTTTCAGGATGAAATGAGATTCTTCATTCCATAAATACGTGTTGAGCACCTACTGTATGCTCTGAGGGCTCAAGATTGAGAAAATTAGACACAAACCTCTGTCCTCAAGTTGATTACATTCTACAGAGGTGGACATTATTGTAAAATTGCGACTTAGCATTCTGAAGAGAAAGACATGCATTCTGAAAGCCTGCAATTACGGATTTGACCTGATCAAATCAGGGTCAGGGATGGCTTCCCTGAGGAGGTGATGCCTCAGCTGAGCTAAGAAGGATGAGGAGAAACTGACCAGGCAGAGTGAAGGAAAAAGCATTCCAGGCAGCAAGAACAGCATGGGCAAAGGCCCTGTGGCAAGAAGGATCATGAGAATTGTGAGGGACCAAAGGAAGACTAATTCACCTGAAGTGAAAGAGCAAAGGGGAGCCTGGTACAGGATGGTGCTGGAGAGTTCAGGAGAGTATAGACTAAGTGATTGTAACAACAAGACTCCAAAATCCAGTGGCTTAAATAAGACAGATGTTATAAGGAAGACCAGGAGTTGGCAAACTTTTTCACTAAAGGGCCAGGCTAGGGCTGCGATTAACTTTCGTCTCAGATCCAAGCAGCACTGCCCATCACATCTGCCTACCAGCCAGCAAGAAAAAGGAAACAACGGGCAAGCATCATTTCTGCTCACATTTCATTGGCCAGACCTAGTCACATGGCCCACATGGCCTCATCTCATTGTAGGGGAAGCTGGAAAGCCTGTTTGTGGTGGCCCAGTGGGAGGTGATGGTGGCTTGGGGCAAGGGTGGTAGCTTGCAGGTAGAGAAGGAATGGAAAAGACCAAAAGATGTTTGTGAGCCAGAATTGGCAAGACTTGGTGATGGGTTGGATATGGACAAGGATGACCCGTAGGTTTCTGGCTTGTGCAATTAGATGCAGATCTCATCTGGAAAGTTCTTCATAGACAGTAGCAAGTCAGTAAGCGGTTGCAGTCTTCAGTATTAGGTCAGTGGGTCCCGCATTGCAAACCCAACGCCTACAGCAACCTGACAGATAACGGAAGGAGCGAAGGGACCTGTCTAAAGGGGCAGCTGCTCCTTAGCTCCAGGCAATGGTTGCCCTCGGAATGCAGGTTGAGTGTAGACATCATCTGATTTTCCAAGGGAATGTGAAAATCTGGATTTTTATGCGAAATCTTCCAATTTTGAAACTTGGGCCAATTAAGTAAAAATAAATTTCTCAGCCTAAAGTCTTCTGATTTATAATGCCTAGGATACCCCCAGCAATGCCACGGCACCTCCTTTCCACCTTTGTGACTCGGTTGCCCTCTGTTGGTGAAGGCCACTGTTGCTGGCTCACCCCAAGGCCTCTGCCTTCATCCTTTGTCGTCCAAGCACATTTATCCCTGGATTCCTGTCCCTTTGTGCCCAGGAGCGCCACCTGCAGGTTCCTGACTCCAATTTCTCACCAATTCCCCACTGGTGGCCCCCCACCTCCAGTGGGGAGAGGGATGCAGACCATCAGCCTGCTCCCAATCCCCTTAATCGGATCTACGCCAGTGACCCTTCTAATTAAAACTCTCCAGCTATAATCTCCCTTTAAAGCCAGGGAAGCGGAAGGACCATAAAAGGAGCAAGAGGGTTGCCGGGTCCGGAAGCTGCCTCCTCTTACGTCCTTGAACATGTCTTCTGGACACCCACAGACCCGAGATCAAGTCCCAGATCTACCTCTTCCAAGTTGTGTGGACCTGGATAACTCACTTCATTCTCTGAGCCTCCCTTCCATTCATTTGCTTGTTCATTCATTTATCATCCATTTAGGGAGCACCTACTCTGTGCCAGGCACTGTTTCAGGACCTACAGACACAGCAGTCCAAGACAGACTCAGCCTGGGTCCTCATGAGCTGACATTCCTTTGCAGGACACAGAGGAGAAAATTCCAGCTCAGCGAGATCAGTGCTCTCATGGGAGAAGCTTAGGGGCTGTGGGAATCCAGAGGATGGACACACCTGACCCAGAGCTGGGGGTCAGAGCAGGCTCACTGGAGCAATGGCCCCTGAGTTGGGAGCTGATAGGAATCAGCCAAGAGAAGTGGAGGAGGAAGGGTGCTGAAGGCAGAGGGAACAGCATGGTGAGGATCTTGGGATGTGAGCAACCATGGCAGTGCGGCTTGGGAACTGTAAGTGTTTTTACGAGGATTCAGTATGGAATATGCAGTGGGAAATTCAGGAAATAGTCTGGAGAGAGAGAAGAAAGGTAGTCTTAATATAAAAATCCAAATCTCTCTATCATTCTTGATGAGTTCTTCCTGCCACTCCAACCTCATCCCCTCCAACTATCCCTATACTCAGCCCCACTTACACTGAGCTGCTTTCTGTTGCTTGATTAAGCCAAACTCATTCCCACCTCAGGGCCTTTGCACATGCTATGCCTTCTGCCTGGAATGCTCAGATCTTTGAACAACATACTCCTCATCCTCAAGTCCCAGCAACCAGGGCATCTCCTGAAATAGGTCTGCCCTGACTACCCAACCTCATGTGGACACCCCTCACCCCTTGCTACCCTACCGATCTCCCTGGTTTGTTTTTCTCAGTAACATGTAGCACT